TAGTATTAGGCTATTAGCAATGAACTCGAAATTATTGAAAAACTTGCAGTAAATTTGTTTGAGTTTGGATTATGATATATATTGAAACCTAGCTAATGCTATATATGTTTCTGCTACCCTCCCGATCCGCAAGCCATGAGAAGTAAAAATGTAGATCGTCCTCTATGTGTAACTCTATCGAACGAGAGTTTTTACGTGGGATTTTACAGGATAGGTTTGATATCTATCATTAAAATATAAATGGTGAAGATATATCAGTGCCGTTACTATGGATTTTATGTCGGACAATGCTAAAGTTGGACAGAATTCAAGCAGTTGTATTAATATATACCAAGTGAGTCTTTGGATGGTGTCGAATTCTAGGGGTTCTCAAGGTTTTGAGATTTTTGCGATTTTGAGATTTTTTTTCTAAATGCAAATGTTTTCTGACAAAATAATGTGTATGCATGGACGTCGACCCAAAATTTCTCGATTAACTTTTTTTTTTTTTAAATTAAGCACTTGAAAACAATTCTTCATAGAAAATGTCATTTCACTTTTCCAATGCAAAATTTCATGAAAGGCGAAAGACTTATTTTACAAAATAAGTTTATTACGTAGCGCCCTATAGAAAAAGAGCCACTAAATCTTACTTGGAAAACAATAAAGAATATGATAAATATTTTTAATCTTTTTTTTGTCTTCTGTTTATTGCCTAATAATCTTCCAAATACTCTATGGTTCCATTTGACAAAAACCTACATCCATTTGAAAATAGTTTAATTTCGACGCACAACCAAACGTTGCAGCCAATCATCAGAACACACACTTTTTTAATTTTCGTAACTACTAAAAAGATGCCTTAACAAAGCAAAAAACTAGCTATGATAATGCAATTTTGCATGATTCGAGAAGAAACATAAGTTGTTATTGGAAAATGGGGGAAAAGAAACGGTACGCGTGGCAGGTAATGGGAGGGTTTGGGGAGCATATAAATGACAATGAGGTAAGCAAAATAAATGACATAGAAGGCATTAAGGTGACATGAAAGTTAAATCTTCGAACTTGGACCATTTGATATTATAAAATCATTCAAAAGCTAAGTTACCTCTTCACAGAAGTGAATAACTCTTTCTAATCAAGCGGCTAGAATTAAATCTCAAATAAAAATCGAGATACGATGTGTCAATTTTGAGTGAGTCAGGAAGTGAGTGGAATCGGTTTCTTGTCTTCACAAAATTTGGAGTGAAATGATTGAATTTATTCAAGAAACTTGGAGAGTGTGATGGACTCGAAACTTGTAATTTTGGTGAGTCGAACTATTTAGAATTTCACATTGAATGAAGTATTACATAAACAATATGAATGAAGTATTACAAAATGACGTAATTTTTTGCATGGAA